AGCAGGAGGAGGAGTTCTACGAGTCGCTGGATCGGATCCTCTCCTCCTCCTGCTCCTCCACATCGGCCTCCGCCTCCGACGACGACGCCGACCACCGCCGCCGCCGCAGCAGTCGCCACCACCTCCTCCACCAGCACCACCACAACCCGCCGCCGTCCTCGCGGCCGGACGCGTCCTCCGCGTACGACGTCTGGATCTCCGAGCCCACATCCGTCGAGGAGCGCCGCCGCCTCCTGCTCCAGCGCCTCGGCCTCGCCTCCGCCCCGCCGCCGCCTTCTCCGCCTCGCCGCTCGCCGTCGCCTCCCGTGTCTCCCCCGGCCTCACCTCCGGCGCCCGCGGAGGAGCCCAGATCCGGCGGCGGCGGGCTCGGGAGGCCCCCGCTGGCGCGGAATCCAAGCTCCAGCGGCGGGGAGCAGCAATGCCGGATCCGGAACCTGGACGACGGTACGGAGTTCGAGGTCGGGGAGGTGCACGAGGAGGAGGTGGTGCGGGAGGTGGGCACCGGCCGCCACCTAACCTTCGAGGAGTTCGAGCTTTGCGTCGGCCGCTCCCCGATCGTGCACGAGCTCATGAAGCGGACAACCACCGCGGCCTCCGCGTCCGCCTCCCACCACGCCGCCCCTGCGTCCAGCAAGCCCCGGAGGAAGCCCGGAGGCGGGTGGCTGCGCGGCATCAGGCAGCTGGCGGGCACCGTCGCGTACGGGCGCCGCAGCGCAGACGTAGGGGACAAGGAGAAGGAGAGGAAGGAAAGGGAGGCGCGGCGCCTCAGCTCTGCCACCGATGACAGCCTCGATGGCTCCGGCTCGCGCAATGTCGGGAGGGTCCGGGTGCGCCAGTACGGAAAGGCGTGCAAGGAGCTCACTGGGATGTTCATGACGCAGGAATTGGCTGCCCACTCAGGCTCCGTGTGGTGCATCAACTTCAGCCTGGATGGACGATACCTTGCCACTGCTGGAGAGGATCGTGTGATCCATGTGTGGGAGGTGTCGGAGGGAGACAGAAAGGGCGAGTTGCTCGGGGAAGCTTCGGTGGCGAAGGAGAGTGGTGGCGGCTGTAGCCCGTTTCTCGCGGTTGTTGGGAATGATTCACCGGAGATCGCTGCATTGTCATTGTCCTGTGCTGATGGGGGCTATGTGGAGAAGAAGAGAAGGCCGAGGAAACAGAGCAATCGGAAGTCTGTCGGGTCTGATCATCTAGTTGTTCCGGAGTGTGTATTTGGTTTCAGAGACAAGCCAGTTTGCTCGCTTCTGGGACATGCCGCCGACGTTCTTGATCTTTCATGGTCCAAATCTCAGGTACGAATTCGTGATCTTCATCTCAATGTCATTTTTGGGTATTTTTTGTATTAATTCTGAAACATCTCATTCAATAATTGCACAGACCAATTTTCTTCAGGCAGAAAAGAAACACTTAATGTCTGTTGTGATGAATTCTAGTATGGCTGTAAAGAATACTGTTGTCAAATGGCCATAAACCAAATGAATGTACAATGTTGCAAGCAAATCATTTTTGGCATTTTGCCACATGGGAAATTGGGCATATGTCTCAGCATGTAACAGGAGATCTTGTTGCTGAAAACTACACTAATTATGCAACAGTGCCTGGTGAATTTTCTTGCCGCATGTAATAGTTTGCGCATTACTTATTTGTGCAAATCTGATATTATTGACATGTCTGTTCGATAAAGAAAAATACAACATATTTATATTCATCGCGAACCTTCCACTGTTATAAGAAGGTTACTGCCCTGCTCTTTTTAGGCTTGCTTCTTTTTGGCACTTTAGGCCTTATTAATGTTCGATCAGGAAACAGTCAGTACAAGTTATTGGCCCTTACTGTCAGAAATTTTTTATGATTTACACCTTCTCTTGCAGTACTTGATCTCATCCTCCATGGACAAAACTGTTAAGCTCTGGGACATCACTACCAGTACCTGTTTGAAAACATTCTCACATACGGACTATGGTGAGTTTTGTCACATGATATATCTCTATCCATTTGTTACGGTCTCTTCTTTTTTTCTTAAAAAGAAAGATGCATTCCCTTTTATTCCTCAGTACAAATTGTTTCAACTTTGGACCGTCCTGACAGATAATTTTGCTTCTTTGCAATCAAACTTTTGGCAGTGACTTGCATCCAGTTCAATCCTGTAGATGATAACTTCTTCATTAGTGGATCGCTGGATGAGAAAGTTCGCATTTGGAATGTCCGAGATCGTAAGATTGAGGATTGGAATGATCTTCATGAGATGGTTACCGCTGCTTGTTATTCCCCTGATGGACAGGTTGAAGTAGTTCCTTTCTAGTACATATTTCTTTTTACTATAAAAATGTGCTTTGATTTTGATCTCTGTTGCCTTTGAAGGTTGCAATGGTGGGCTCTCACAAGGGAAGCTGTCATATATTTGATACATCTGGTATGACAGCCTTGCTCTCGCACATTCTGACTCGTGCAGTTATTCTTTTTTTTATTTTTGCTAGAGATTTATACACCGACGAGTGATAACCTTGAGAGCTCCAGTTCCTCATATGATGAACTCATATTCATATTGGTTTAATCGTTGCAGAGAAGAAGCTTCAGTACAAAAGTCAGATAGATTTAAGAATTAGGAAAAAGAAGTCTGGTCAGAAGAAGATAACTGGCTTCCAGGTAATACAGCACAGAGCATCCATTTCCCCGCCAACTTCTTCTTTTTGTTTGTTAAGAAAGGCCCATTCTTATTTTGGACCCCACAAGGAAAACATCAATCTGACACCTCCAGTCTCCGTTTTTTTTTTTTAAACGAAACCTCCAGTCTCTGGTGTGATACTGTTGTCTACCACTGAGTTAAATATCTGTGTTCCTTATGATAGTTTGCTCCTGGAAGCTCCTCGGAAGTTCTGATTACTTCTGCGGATTCAAGAATACGTGTTGTTAACGGCGATGAATTTGTTCACAAGTTTAAAGGTAATGCCTCATTCTCCTGCCAATCTGCCATGGCAAATTTGAGATCAGTTACATGTATTATTTTCATCTAATATAAAGGATATTTTCCCTTGCCTTATGGAGCTGTATGGGCTTGTGTGGTAGTTCTGGGGTTTTAAGTTTACTTGGCGTTTGACTTTAATCCTTTCACCAGGGTTTCGGAACACGAGTAGCCAAATCTCAGCTTCTGTAGCTCCGAATGGGAAATACGTCATCTGTGCCAGTGAGGATTCTCACGTCTATGTGTGGAGACATGACAACAGTTCCCACCCTAGCAGGAGCAGGAGCACAGTTGATGTAACCAACTCATATGAACATTTCCACTGCCATGGTGTAACCGTGGCTGTCACATGGCCTGGTGCTGAAACCCGAGGTTGGTTTGGATCTCGAAGCAGCAGGCACAGTGATTCAGATGGAGCAGTGAACTCTGGTCAAGACCTCCCAGTTGAGAACACTCAGCACAATTCTGATGCAGCTGATATCAGATACAATGAGAGCCCAGTTTGCGAAGGTGTGACAACCAGAAGCACCAGTAGACATCAAGGTGATGGAGCATCCACATCCTGGCCTGACGAAAAATTACCGTCAGCCAAGAGCAGCCCTGGTCACTGCTCGTCCGATCTTTGCATGGGAGCTATGGATGTCCAGCGCAGGTCTGCGTGGGGTTTGGTGATTGTCACGGCTGGGCGGGGAGGCGAGATCAGGGTGTTCCAGAATTTTGGCTTCCCAGTTCAAGTGTAAAGCAAGCGTGAGATCATGCCGATAGGGGTCTGTTTGGTTCTTTACTGTATAGATATCGGTAGGTCGTCAACAGTTTTACTGAAAAGTTCTCTCTCTTGCTCTGTCTCGTTGGATGCTTCAAGATTGTACTCCCAGAACCACACTATCATATGGTTAACACTATCACTTGTTCATACAATACAAAATTTTGTGTAACTGTATGCTTAGCACACATTACCTTAATGTGTTCGTATCTAATTTTCATACAAGTAATATATGAAACGAAAATATTTTCCAAAATTCATGAGTTTACATTTTCAATTTTACACTTCCATACTTTCTGCATTTTTCCTATATTTCAGGTGTCTGATTTTTTGTTGTTCTTGAGCCAACATTGACTAAAAAACTGAATGTCTTCTGTGAGTTGCCCTTTTAATTGTATATTGGTTTTCTTTTTGTCTTTTGTGAGTTGTCCTTTTAATTGTATTGGTTTTTTTTTGTCTTTTGTGAGTTGTCCTTTTAAGTGTGTTCGTTTGTTGTCTAAGAGTGATACCTGTTGCTAGTGCCTGAGATTTTAGATTTGAGCTCTTCTCAGGCGATGTGCATGGATTTAGGTTTGGAAAGGCAAGCCCGCTACGCGGAGGAGGCAAGCGTAGGGGCCGAGCAGCAAGGCAGCGTGGCCACCACCGGTGTGTGGGCGGAGGTAGACGGTGGTTGAGTCAGGGAGGGGCGGGGGAGGCACTGAGATGGCCCGGCGACGTTGGGACCGGACGCGGTGGTCACCAAGGACAGGGCAGGTCGGCGGTAGACGTCCAGACGGGGGCGAACTCGTAGCCACGATGATGATGAGATGTTGAAGATGACCTACCAGCCACACAATTAAGATCCAATGGCTCTGATTCGGCATGAGAGAGAGAGAGAGAAAAAAAATCAGGCACCTGATGGATGGCAATTCCACCATTCTTATGTGACCATGGCATTTTGCTGTTTAGCTTTGTGTTGTCTAGCGACTAGGGTGTGCTAGTACTAAATGCTTTGACACAAACTTAATTTTATTGTCATGATAAATCACTGCACAGATCTTACATCCTCGCTCCAGCTACAGATCAAGATTCACTGATCTAACTAGCCGCCACCATTTAATTTCGTGGTAAGGACGAGAAGAAACAGTGAAGGCATAGGAGAATCGAGCTGGATATGAGGATATCTCATCAAAACGGGACACACTCCATGCTAGGAACTTGGAAGCACTACCTGAACCTGATGAGGCCGCACTGCTAAAACCGGAGCCCCTCAAGACGGCGACCGGCTGGCACTCAGTTCCCCGGCGGTGTCCAGCTGAGGTTGAGGTCGGCGATGTCGCCCCACGCGCCCGCGAAGCCCCCCGCGGCGGCACCAGCCGCTGCTCCGTCGTCCCACGGCGCGAGCCCGTCGTAAAAGTTCGGGACCACCGACTGCCACGAGGAGGAGAAGGCCGCCGGTGCAAGTGCAACACCGCTGCCGACGTCGAACTGCGGGAAGAAGCTGCCGTCGCTGAGGAAAGGGAAGGCGGACGGGAAGTCCAGCAGGCACGCGTTCGCGAGCGACGGCGGCATCGGCGGCGGCGACGCCGACACTGACGCCGCGGACGAGGGCACGGTGGAGACCCTGCGCCGCTTGCCGCCCCCGCCGGCGCGGCGCGAGGCGCCGCCGACGGGGACGTAGCGCAGCGTGCCGCCGTGCGTCCAGTAGCGGCGGCACGCGCGGCAGAAGTGCCGCGGCTGCGCCGTGCTGTAGTTGTTGTAGTAGCAGAACTTGGTGTTGGTGGAGCGACAGCGCGGGCACTCCAGCTGCTGCTGCCTCGGCTGCTGGCCCTGGCCCTTGCGCGCGGCATCGTCGCCCTGCCACGCCACCCACAACCGCACGCGTCAGTGATGATCGGCTACTTGGTACGCTGCAGATTCGCAGACGCGGAACTGCCGTGCGTGCCGTCTTCGGTGGGATCGAGATCGATGACGCTGCAACTGACCTGCTGGTGGAACGCGGAGGAGTCGAGCGGGAGCTCAGCCTCGGAATCGGCCGGACGCTTGGAAGCACCAGCGGCGGCGGCGGTGGCTGAGAGGATCGAAGCTGCAGGCGCCATCTCCCGGGCGAGCAGAACCGCGCATGCCGAGGGCGGACGACGGCGTCTGCGGCGGCTTAACAGACGCCCAGCAGCGATACGGCCGAGAGCTAGCTAGTGCGCGGCGCAATCAGCTGGCTGGCTAGCGCTGGTCCGGCCCTGTGGGCGCTGGTCTGGTCTCACTCACCACCTCGCTAGCTCTCTGGGTGACCTGGGATGAGAAGGACTAAGGAGAGGAGGGAATACGATCGAGGGCTGCTAGCCGCCTAGCCGCCGGCCAGGCTATTTGTAGACGGTGGAAGGGCATGGGATGGGATGCCAGTGGCAGCGGCCGCGGCAGCAGCGAGAGAGACGTAAGCTAGCCGTCGCCGTCAAGTCCGACCTGGACGGCAATCAGCTCGCGCGGCGTTGGTTGGCTGGTCTGGTGTGTCTCGAGTCGACGGGTCGTTGGTTTGGTTGCATTGCATTGGAGACATGGGGATTGGGGAGGGGGAGGCCGGCGCCGGACCGGACAGGCGGACACCGCATGCAGTGCAGAGTGCGGCGTGGAGCCTCTTTCGCTACCTAGTAGATGCGTGCGCCGAGGCACGGCGACTTGGCGCCTTGCGCCGCCATTGGCATTGGCGGCCAGCTCCATCGCGCAAGGCAACGGTGACGGAGTAGCGAGGCCAGCCCAGAGCGCGAGGGCGGCACGGGATCGAGATGGACCGGTCACGCACGGCACGACGACGTTCGCGTTCGCGTCGGCGTTAACAGGGACCGGCGGTGGGCCCCGCGCGCGTGGAGAGAGGGAGACGGTTGGCGGGAGAAAAGACGCGGCGAGCGGGCCCTGGTCGGTGGCTTTTCCTACGCAGGCAGGGCCCCGCGAAAGCGAAGGCGGGGACTGACGAAGGGGCCGTCGGCTTTCGTTTCGTTCGTCCACATGTGGGATGCCAGTGCCGGGCCATGGCCGCAGCCCACCGCCTGCTGGCCAATGGCCAGTGCCACGCCAGCCACCCTGCTGTCTGCACGGCTGCTCCTGCTCTGCGACTGCGCCCATGTGTCCAATAGTGAACCAAACCACAGGATCTCGACTTCTTCCCAGATGGTCCTGTGTTACCTGCAGCTGCAGGCAGCAGATTTCTAACCGTAATATAATCGGTTACTGTATGACATCACTGGAAACCTCTTCTCGAACGTACAGAGTACGTACGTTGCTGGGTCTACTCTGCGACATTGGCGTGCGATTCCTGTCGTGTTCTTCATGTTCATGCATCGCATCGCATAGTATTCTCATCGCAAGGGTGCGTGCGTAGTACTCAACACAGGACGCGTATGGTTCCCCGGCAAGGCAACAGACGTCGTGCTCGTGCCGGTGGCGGTCTTGAGTGCGCCAGTTAGCGGTGATGGATCGATCATCGATGTGCCCCATTCCATTCATTCGATGGGCTGGGCTGTGGGCTGTGGGCTGTGGGCTGTGGGCTGTGGCGTAGGGCAACTGGACAAGAAGCGAAAACGGCAGCACTTTCGGCTGCCCAAAGCTGGGTAGCTTAGCTGTCAAGCGTCAGCTCGCTTTGACTCGCGAGAGGCGTGGAGCCTTCCAACTCCTAACCCCGAGTCCCAACCCACTCACGGTCGTCGACTCGTCTGCACGAAGGATTTGAGCGATGACGATCCAGTTGCAACTACCGCACACGCCCCGTTTGTTGTTCGCACTCCCACGCACATTTTTTTTTTATGTTTAGCCTTTTTTTTGAAAATTTTTCACAAATATGTCAATAGAGGTATGATTTTAAAATTTGGACCCTTAACTCCGCCGCCAAAATGGAGTTCTAATAAACCCCGGGAGGCTCAAAGTTCGGCCCCGGCGTGGCGGTGACTCGCACATGTCGACTTCGACGACGTAGATCTTGGCGTCGAGCTCAGCGCCGTGGTTACTAGCGCTAAGCCTATCTTAGGTATGGGCTGCAATCCTTTCTCTCTTCCTCTCCCTCTCTCTCTCGCCACCTTTCCTTGCTGACGGCAACAGACCGCTTTGCCGATGTATGTCCCTCTCCTCTGCACACCAAAATTGATCTTGCCAAAATCTGCCGAAGTGACTTTATAGTCTAAAACGAATGAAGTGCAGCATTTGTTGTTGTTGCATGCCGCCGCCCATGCAAATGAGCGCAGCGGGCAATAAACCATCGCAACCTGACACATCAAAATCAATGATCTTTTGCCACCGTCGGCCCACTTCGTCGGCTGAGACGACCACGACGTGTTGCGACTCCGTCGACGTCCGCAATTTCGTCATCGGACATGTAAAAATTGTGAATTTGCAATGTACGTACTTAGTTAGCTTTGATTGTAGTGTAGTAGTTTTGGCATTTGTTATTTACTAGTTAATGTGATGACTCAGGTAGTTGATTTAGTTAGTGATCTAGTGAGATAGATATGTAGATAGATAGAAACATAGATACATAGGTACATAGATATAGTTAGATAGCTACTTAGATAGGTAGTTATATATTTAGTTAACTAAATATGATCTAGCTATTTAGTGAGTACACTGTATATATATATATATATATATAGTTATTATCTTATTTACTTAGCTTGTAGTTAGAAAGTACTTGTTAGGTACTATCTATCGTCTAATTTGGATTAAAGGACATGTGTTTCGTTACGTGTTTAAAATAGATGGACAATCTAGTGACCATATATCATGGAGGCACCGTTGAAAGCGATCGCTATGAATATGTTGAGTTTGTTGACATGCAAAGCGTGCATGTGCTATTCAATGAGAAGCCATCGTTTAGTGAGATGGTTGCAAGGGCTAGGGAGGAGCTGCATTGCCTTGGCGATGATGATGATGACATTGCAGTTGAGGGTGTACTGCACCTAGGTTCTCCTCCCAACATCCTCAGGCGAATGATCCCAATTGGATGTGCGGATCAGTGGGACAACTATGTGAGATTGGCTATGAAGAGCCAGCTTCAATGTTTAGACGTGGTTGTACGTTGGGTGTTAGTTAATCCCACCCCTCATGGGTTTTCCCCACCAATGGGTCAACAGACACACTTCGACCCTCCCGTCCCAGAACCTGATATGGATGTGGAGGTTCCAACTATGGTTTTCGATGCTCAATCTACCCCTAATGAGGTAGTTGGAGATGCTTGTCAAACTCATGTTGTTGTAGCAGATCCTCCTCATGAGATCCCTTTGACACAGAATCATCCGAGTAAGTGTCTTATCCGCATGGTTATTGGGAGCTTACCCCATTTCTTACATCCATTTATTTCATTCTTTCCTCATTTCTCTACTTATGTTGTAGGAGACATTCCTGACAATGTGGATGTGCCCCCTGTTGCTGCGCAAGTGCTCTGTGTAGATGGATTCCGTGGCTCCAATAGTGTTGAAATTATGAATGATTCGGAGCCATATGAGATGACAATGGCTCTTTATTCTAATGATGATCACCCTGTTGGAGAGCTGACAGAGAGTAATGTTGAGACGCTAAGGCGTATCTTTCTCAGCCGTCGTGATCCAAGAGTTCACGAGTTTAGCGATCTTGCTCATTCCGATCAGGTGTGTGCAGAAGGACGTGATGATGAGCTCCTAGAAGCTTCTGAGACCGGCCCTAACATGGTAGTTGAGAATAGGAGGGTATTCAAGGACCTCCCTGCATTGAAAAGGTGGTTACAAGCGTTTGCAGTGATACAAAAGAGACCTTACAAGGCCTTGCATTCATATGCGGAGCGTCGTTACACGGTTGTGTGTGACAAGGAACGCTGCCCATCGAGGGTTTGTGCAAGGAAGCAAAAGGTCACCGAAAAGTGGAAGATCACAAAAGTTGTCGGGCCACATAATTGTGCTGACCATGTGCTGACACTGAGGCATCGGCAGTTGACATCTACCCTCATTGCCAAGCGGTTGATGGGAATATTGCAGGGAGAACCCAACATGAAGGTTAGGATAATTATCAGGACCATTGAGGCGTTGTATGGAGGTTATGTGTAACTTATGGTAAAGCTTGGAGGGCTAAACAACGAGCGTGGAAGATGATATATGGGGACTGGGAGGATGGGTATGAGCAGCTGCCAGTACTTTTCAATGCAATTAAAGCAGTGAATCCAGGCATGCATTATGAGTACATCCCAAAACCAAATGCATGGAAGGATGGGAGGCAGATATTCTTCCGTGCTTTCTATTGCTTCCCTCAGTGTGTCGAGGCCTTTAGGCACTATCGTCCCGTCTTCTCCATTTATGGTACGTTCTTGATTGGCAAGGACGAGGACGAGGACGAGGATGAGGACAAGGACGTGACGACGTGGACCAGAGGCACGTGGAGCTTGGCCCCTCTCAGCTCCAGGACGCTCCCTCGACTCAGCCTACATAGCCTTCAGGCACTAGGCGACACCGTCCACCTGACCCTTACATTCTAGGTACCAGCGCCCTTGGTCACAAGGGTAAGGGTAAGACTAGGAGATATTGATGGTTTGTGGTAGATGTTAGAATGTACTATTATGGATTTTGTAGTCACTTTTCTATAACTATTTGGGACTGTATAGACATTGTAGACTATTTAAAATATGCAGGACATGTTATGTTGATTGTGATGTTGGATGTGGTTGTATTATGCTCTTTGGAAGATTAACTGTTTGGATTATATAATGATGTCTTTGTTTGTAACTGTGGATGCTCCTGAAATAAGGGAAACTCTTGCGTTTTTTTCGTGAATCATTAATTATAGTACACTGCTAAAAAGAAACAAATGTAGTGCACCGATTAAATGTAAATTCATTAGAACGTGTATAGTCCAATCATATCGTATAAACGCTTTACAGATAAATCTAGGCTTTTCAGTATTAGTAAACGAATCTAGACTTTTCAAACAATGCAAGGAAGCACAACTCCACTCCATCTCCACCATCCATCTTGTGACTGTTTGATCCAAGGGATAAGGTGTAGAGGCACACGGATAGCTGACATGGCACATTGAGAGGCCTCCATTCCTCCTCTCAACCTATAAATAACCCCTCACTCCCTCTCATTCACAC